TGTCCTTCTCTAAGGACTGGTCCCTCCTTGCAACATGTCCAGAGTAGGTCAGATAAAGCTTCAGAATCCTTGCCTTCAAGGAGCAGCCTGGTTTCACCCTCTCTAGGATGAAACTGTTTATTCTCCTAGCTTTCTAAGGTATATTCAATACTCATCTCTAGCACCACAGCTCAAAGACATCACTTCTCTTTTTGTCATCCCCAGTCATTGTCAAGATTTCTGACACATAGCAAGTCATTGCAAAGACCATGGCCTTAATCAGGCACATCTTAGTTTCCAGACTGACATCATTGCTCTTCAGATAATGAATTAATACGGGAGAAGGGAAAGACAATAAGGAATATATGGATGATAAAATACTGTGGGAATGGTAATTAATTTTATAGAACAAAATGTACATCAATTGAATGGAGAGAAAAAAAAAGTACACCCAATGTGCTTTGTAAACTTTCACTCAAATCACAATTTGTAAAAAAGTTTACTAGCTACATTGCTGAGTGTCTTTGTTCCTGGTTCTTTCACCTTCTCCCCAGTGGTAGATCTATTCTTTACAATCTCTGTGTGATATTTGGTTTGTTTAAGTCTTCTGTTTCTTCTAGAGTCAGTTTTGATTATGTGGGAAATTTTTAATTCTGGGAAAAGCGAGGATCAGCAATAGAGAGGAAGACCCTCAGTGAGGTGGATTGACCCAGTGACCACAACAATGGGCTTCAACATGGCGGAGGGCCAAGGGGGGGCAAGGTTTTGATCTGTTCTTCATTCATAGCGTTGCTCTGAGTTGTAGTGAACTCCATAGCACCAACAGAAGTTTTGATTTTTTTAAAATATTATTTTATATTGGTTTGCACACAAAATTCTTACACATTGTATTTCATTGTATTTCATTCATATACTTTTCCCACACATTTCTTCATTCACAATGTGTATCCTCATTCGTATACATCGTGTTTTATAAACTCAATCACTGTTTTTCCATGCCTACACTTTCCCCATCCTTCCAGGTCCACATTGCATCTCTTAAACTTGGAGTATTTGAAAGATATCCCTATTAATACTGTTGTTGTTGTCAAGTACCATCGAGTCGGAACATCCTCCAGCAAGTTTTCAGAGGCAGTTAATTGCATGGGAGGAGATTTTTCATCATTCTGCCATGAAGCAGCCAGTGGATGGGAACTGTGTGTCTTTGGGATTTCAGTACAGTTTCTTACCATTTGTACATCTTCCTTATTAACATTAGAAATATCTAAAAGTTGACTTGTATAGTAGGTACATTTGTTGTTCTGTGCCACTGAGTTGCCTGTGACTCATAACGATCCTTTGTACAATAGCTTAAACTCTTCCCTATCCTGGGGCAATCTTACTGTCTCTAACACACCTACCCCATTACCCCAGTTACTGTGCCAATCCATCTCATCAGGGGTCTTCCTCTCTCACTCTGTCCCTCTATCTTTCCAAGCATGATGTCTTTCTCCCTCCTCGCCACATGTCCAGAGTATGTAAGATGGAGCTTTAAAATCCTTGCCTCCAAGGAGAAACTTGGTCTCACCTTCTCCAAGACAGACCTGTTTGTTGAATACTTTTTTTTAGCACCACAACTCAAAGGCATTGATTCTTCTGTCATCCTTAGTCACTGTCTAGCTCTCTGATGCATAGCAAGTAATTGAAAAGACTGTGGCTTGGATCAGATGCACTTCATTTCTCTTTAGTACTCTGAAAGGTCCCTGTCAGTAGATTTCCCTAATGCAGTTCATCCTTTGATTTCCTGACTGCTGGTGCCAAGAGTGTTGCCTGTGGAGTGAGCAAGCTGACATTGGTAACAACCTCAACTTCTTCTCCATCTATCATGTTGCTGCCAATAGGAACGTTTACTTGTCGTATTTACCTGTTATGTTTATTTCCCCTTCTCCCCCCACCCATTGCTCCCAACACTCCTCTTTTTCTGCATGCTGGTGGGAAGGCAGGGGTGCGGGTGTCAGTGGAGCACACTGCCTCAGCAGAAGCACCATCGCCAACAGATCAGCTTTGTTGTTTGCCATCGCATTAGAACAGACTCATAGCTGACCCTCCAGCAGGTTTTCAGAGGCAGTTAATCACACAGGAAGCAACCAACCATCCTTTTCCTATGGAGCAGTTGGTGGATTTGAACCATGTGCCTTTGGGATTGCAGCCCCATTTTTTTACCATCAAGCCACCAGAGCTCCCTTGTTGTTGTTGATTACCTTCGAGTCGAGCACGGTTCATAGCAACCCTATGAACAAAAGGCCTGAAGGCCCTCTACAACTATCAACATTATCAAAGTTCATAGAGTTTCCAGAGGCATATTATTTAGGAATTGGATGCCATTCCTGCTTCCAAAGCTGTCACAGAACTCTCTTAGTACCACCCAATCCAATCATTCATCTTCCCTAGAGATGTACTGAGCCCTGTAACATTTTTTAAATTTTATTTTATTAATTTTAATCAACATTTACAGAGATTTTGGATTCCCATTCATTCATTGAGTCCTGTAACATTTTAAAAAATACATCTACCCCCCTTCCCCAATTTTAATCAGCCAGAGTTTGTATTCATTGTTTCAACTAAGGACTCAAAATAAAGGGGTGATTTTTCTCTCTCTTTTCCCAAATCAATTCTCTGGGACACCTCTCTGCTCATGCTCAGTAGAGATCTACCTCATCTGTTGAAACAGTTAATTGAAAGATGGAGGTGATATACTTCAGTCCCAAAATAACCCCAACTATTCTAAACTATTTTGTTCAAATAAAAGCCATGTTCCCCTTCAGTGCAGCAGAGTCAAAATCTCTTATACTCATTTTTCCAGAGGGCAGTCTGCTTGCCTCTTTAAAAACGTAGCCAAATTGCACAGTCCTAAAATTTATCTTCTTTTTTGCCAATTATAAAACAAATGGTGGGAGCAGCCACTTGGGAAACAGAACTGAGTGGAAGTGGAAAGCAGTTCTCTGGGCTGGAGACGAGGCTTAGCGCTGGTGGAAAGGTAGGTCTCTGAAGCTTGCTCTGTTCCACTAGGGGTCAGCTGCCCATGAGGCCAAGATGTTCCAGGAAGACTCTTGTGTCTCAGTGTTGAGCACAAAGGTACAAATTCTCCACGTCTTCAATTTAAGCCTCTGGGTTTGAGGGCTGTTGAGAGAGAAGAGGAGAAATTAGGAAGCAAAGATTGCCGTCATATTGGACCAGGATGAAGTGGAGGAGAGGTGAAAATGAAAACACAGGTGTGAGAAAAGAGCCAGGCGGGGAGGTGCGGGAGAGCTTGTGAGAGACACAGGCAGATGAGAAGAATGTGGAGTCTGGGAGCAGGAAGGGAGGGAGGAAGCCGGGAGGCCCTGCTGGAGGAGGGGGCAAAAGAGTGTAGTGAGAAAAAGGAAATATGTGTGCACATGGGGTGCGTGTATGCACACGAGGTGTGTGTGCCCATGGGGGAGTGTGCACACGGGTGTGTGTGTACATGTGTGTGATGTGTGTCTGTGTGTGGGTTGAGTGTATGTAATATGTATTCAGGTATTATGTACACACATGTATATGGTACATAGTGTGTGTGTGTGTGTGTGTTGGATGCTTTTGAGCTGTGGTGCTGGAGAAGAGTACTGAATGTACC